TATGAAGATCTATTTCCAACAAATCTAATATTGATAGTTAAAATCAATAAAAAAAACTTAAATTAATTAAATTAAGATAATTCTATAAAAAAAAATAAAAAAACATGAAACTCAATTATCGAATAACATAGTATTAAAAGATAAAAAAAAAGTAAATAAATAAAGATTGAGTTGTTGGAAGGTGAAATTGAAAAAACATATTCACTTTAAAAAAGACAAAAAAATAAATTGAATAAACCTAATAAATTTATGATTGAGGTCATAAGATCAACATAAGTCTATATAAAATAAATAAATAAATTAAAAAACTCAATTAAAAAATTATTCATAGACAACATGGTTATTTTGTTATTATATATTTGAATAAGGAGCAAATTATTTTTTTAACAAATAAAAATATTAATAAAAAAGTAGCATTGTGGATGTTGTCCATGCTTTTCAGATGATGCATGTTGTTGTTTTTAAATTCAAAAGTACCTACTTATTGTGTCACCTGAAGTGTTTGGTGGTGGTGAGGCTAAAGGAACAGTGCATGTAGTGAAATTCATGGTGGTGAGATTTTTTTTTCTCTTTTTTTCTCTATTCTTTTCTTAAAGGACACACTAAATCAACTAAAATTTAGAGTTGTCCTCCCATTTGTTTTTCTTTCAATTTTATGATTTTTATTTGTTTTTATTCCTTTTCTCTTTAAATTTCATTTATATATATATATATATATATATATATTCTTCATTCTTTAATTGTTGTTTTTCTACCTTTTCTTGAGTTCTTTATTTTTTTTTAATTTTATCTGTTAACGTTTTACTTCATTTATTTATCCAATTTTGGTTCTCTTTATTGCTTTTTTAATTTAATTTATTATTCAATTTAATCCCTCATTATTTATGAGTTTTATTTTTTATCTTCTACGATATCATCTTGGTCATATAATCAAGGATCACTAGTTTGAGACTCAATTTAATTTTAGTTTTTTTAGGTATATTTTTTTAAATTTTATCCTTTAAAATAAAATTAGGTCATTAAACCTTCAACTTTCTAATTTTTTTCTATTTTTCTTTCTATTAGGATTATCATGGGTTATAGGCTAGTCAAGTTAACTCAAATTGATTAGGATTTTTTTAATGTTTTTAAAAAATTAATATTTGTTTTTCAATTTTATTATTTGGTATTAGACTTTTAGGCTTGGGCCATGTTTATTTCCCGGAAAACAGTTTCCGGGAAATCACTTTCCAAATTTTCTTGTGTTTGTTTGTCATTAGGAAAGTTGGTCAACGGAAAACATTTTCCGGTCAACAAAAAACACTTTCCAGTTAACGGAAAACACTTTTCGGTTAATGAAAAACACTTTCTGGTCAATGAAAATATTTTTTAGTCAAAAAACATTTTTGCTTAATTTTTAGGAAAGTGTTTTCCTTTTTAGCTGTGTTTGTTTTTCGAAAAGTGATTTCCGGGAAAACACTTTCCAAACTTTCTTGTGTTTGTTTTGCAGAAAGTGATTTTTGAGAAATCACTTTCCAAACTTTCTTGTGTTTGTTTGCTGTTAGGAAAGTTGATAAACAAAAAACACTTTCCAGTCAAAGGAAAATTTGGCTTGATTTTCAGGAAAGTATTTTCCTTCAACTTTTTAATTTGTAAGATTTATTCCTTATTATTTTAATAAACTTGAGAAAAATAAAATATTAATAAATTATTTTCCAGTTCATTTTCCATAACATAACCAAACACTGGAAAATGTTTTCCAGTTCATTTTCCATAACACTACCAAGTATCGAAAAATATTTTACTTTTCAGGAATTCATTTTTCTCGGAATTTACTTTCCTGGAATTCACTTTCCAAAAGGAAACAACTTTCCTGCAAACAAACGGGGCCTTGAGTTATTTCATTTTTTTTGCCTTTTATTCTATAGGGTTATCCTGGGTAGCTAGTTAGTCAAGTTAACTCGAGTTGATTTTTTTTAAAAAAGATTTGTTTGTAAAAATTATTTTTTTAAAATTTCATTATTTGATATTGGACTATTGAGCCTTGATGTTTTTTGTTGTTCATTCTATAGGGTTGTCCTAGGTCGTGGGTTAGTCAAGTTAATTCGGTTTAACTTGGGTTTTTTTTTTCCAATGCTTATTTATTTATTTAACTTTTAATCTCTTTTTTTAAGTCATTTTAAAAAAAAATAATTTTTTTTTATCCTGATCTCATATCATATATGACAAGTTAATAGAGAGTCCATGTTGACTCAAGCTTTTTTCTTTAATGTTTGTTTTTTTTAAATATTTTTTTATATTTTATCTTTGAATATTAAATTATTTATCCTTAAACTTTGTGATTTTTTTTTTAGATTATCCTACTTTCATATTGAGGATTACATGATTGACATGTTTATTGTGGTTAACTTGAATAATTATCATCTTAATATTTTTTTAGATATTAAAAAAATCCCTCTGGACGCACTATAAAAAAATTATAATTAAAATCTAAATCAAATATCAAATCCAAACATAATTGGTCCAATCTTTTTGAATAACTACATTCAAATACTTGATTGATCTAATCTTTAAAGAAGAACAAGAACCCATTGCCTTGCTAGAAATCTTAATTCACTAAGGTCTTAGTTCTTATTGGCATCCACAATAAATGATCAATTCAAATTTCAAAGGACCCACCGTGGATGCAACTGCTTTGTTTTGCTGGGCTCAAAATACTCAAGAATATGAGAAGACAAATTGGATATTCACTAAAGATAGTTTTCTGAGATGTCCTAATCTGACATCTTTAGCTATGCTGTTATGGCCACTGTACGCTATATGTTCCCCCAAAAGGGCCTAACACTTCCTTGACCGTGAGCCTTGACCTAACCTAACTGGTGTAGATAGTGAAGAGAAGATCGCTCAAATGGGCCACCAAATCAAAAACTTCTCGGAGGTGTTTGGTAACGTGTAACGGTAATTGTTTTTTTTTTAAATTATTTTTATTTAGTTTATTAAAATTATATAAAAATATTGAAAATTTATTAATTTAAAATAAATTTTTTTTCAAAACACCTGTAATATTAACTATAATATTAAGAGTATATTTGATAATATGATTATGGTTGGTTTTCAAATAATTTTTTATATTAAAATATATGTTAATAATATTTTTTATTTTTAAAAAATTATTTTTAATATCAATATATCAAAACGATCTAAAACATATTAAATTTTAGTAAAATAATTTTTAATTTTTTTTAAAAATACAGTTTATACTGTGTTTCCAAACAATGACTAAATCAATACATCTTAAACATTTAAATATTTTCATTTCCTTTTAATCAACATTAGATAATATTAAAATTAACAAAAAATGAAAGATTAAGCGTGAAACAACCCTAACTTTTCCTGCTCCTATTGGGAAATGATAGTAAAAGGCATAAAATGAAATAAATAAATTAATTAAAACTTTCATTTTTTATTATTTAGAACAAACATCCATGCTGTCCTAGGCAAAAAACACAACGGTTACTACCGACATAACAGGGTTCTTAAGTTGTTTTAAACTGAAGAGAAACAAAACAGAAGATGGTTCAGAGTTTAGAAGATGATAAAGCCAAGGTCAAGACTTGAGATGCCCAAACTTCACGGTGTTGTGTAAGATTCCGAGATTAATGTCTCATTAATTCATGCCATAAGTTATCTTTTAGGTTTCTGCTAACACATCCCCTGCTTGCATTGGCGCGTGGGTTAGCCTTGATTTTAAGGATTTGTTTGATGTTATTATTCCATCGAGATTTAGAATTGTTTTAGTTTTAAATTATTATTTTAATATTTTTGAATATTTTTAATGTTTTGATATTAAAAATAAATTTTAAAAAATAAAAAATATTATTTTAACATATTTCAAAACGAAAAATATTTTTCTATCATATTTCTAAATAAATCCTTAAAACTAATTATTTTTTAGTTTGAATATATTTTAAAAATATATTTGGTTTGAAAAAAATATTAAATTGATGATTTTTAGTTTTTTTTTTATAGTTTTAATGTGTTAATATAAAAATTAAATTATTTTAATATATTTTTAACTAAAAATGCTTTTAAAAATTACTCTATATCAAACCCCCTTATATTTTCAATAGTTACCTATGTTGATTAAAACATAATAAACATGTTACACTATGAAGACAGTTTATTGACCATGCAGCTCGTTGGGTGTTGAAAAATTTAGTAACAAATGTTTAACTTGGATTAGAGGTTATTTTTGTGTGATCAAAGGCTATATACATTAACTATGATTTCATGGAGTAATAAAAAAAATTAGTATGGTAACATGAGTAGTTTGACAATGGTACGAGACCAAAACAAAAAAAGAAAAGAAAAAGATAACAATATTATTTTTCAAAAGCAAGTTTCATATGTATGTTAATTTAAAAATAAATGAGAATATTACTTGGTATTAGTTTTTTTTTTTGGCTTTTCTTTTTGAAGGAGATTCTTGGTCTTGATAGACGAAAAAAGTTGAGATAGAAGATACATATTTTTTATGAAAATTATTTCAAAACTAAAATTATTTTTATATATTATTTTCATTAATTCAACTATATATATATATATTATCACTTCTGTAGTGGGATAGTGACGTGAACAACCTCAAGAAGAGAAAAAAATAAGATCAAAGAGTTGGTAGTGTAATATGGAGGAAAAACCACGCGCCATGAATTGACCTGGGAGCTCTTTCAATTCCTCAAGCGTCATTGTCTATGCTTCAAATAATTACCAAAAAAATCAAGCAAATTAATCCATGTTTTCACCAAATAATTTAATACAAATCCAAAATCTTGATCAATTATTCTCTATCTGTGTCCCCAATCCCATCACCTGACGGTCCTCTCGCCCTCTCTCTTTGGAAGAATAAAAAATCAGCTGATTCTGCTGAAAGTTTCAACCTTTGAATCTCTCATTGTAAAAAGATCGCAACTTTCCCTCTCTTCATCTCTCTCTTAACTACAAACTCTTCTAACATAGTAAGTGTTTCTTCTTTTATTTCCTCTTTCTTGTAGTTCTCTTGTGTTTGAAGTTTCAAAAACTTGTACTCCAAGCATTTCTTCTTGTCTCCCTATGCCTATCTCTTTCTATTAACTTTTTGTGAGTGATAATTAGATCTGGAACAGTTTTAAGCAAAACCCCACTTTTCATTTATTGCATTTCTCAAATCTAACTGCTTCTTGGTCATTAAAGTTTGAATTTTTAAGTTGAAAGCTAACATTTTTATTGATTTCTTTTATCAACTGTAAATGCCTTTCTTTTAGTGAAATTATTAGGTGTGCTCAGCTTTTTCCCTGTAACTGTTAGTGCGATGGAGATTTCTTTTTGATTTTGCTAATTTGGAAATTTGAGTTCTTAATCTGGGAATCTTGTTGAGGTTTTGTTATTATACATGTTAGTGCAACTTTGCTTCAAAGTCTTGATAGTTTAGATGCTGTTCATTTATCTGAAAAGGAGACTCTGGCTCTGTTACAGAACCTCCTTGCGTCTATTTGGCTCTTTGCTGTTCAGTAGATTGGCTGCGGTTTTGCTTTAGTTGTTAGCATTTCTGGGCTTCCTCTGGCAAGTTGGAGTTGGAGAGCTTTTGAGTTAGAGGAGATCGATGTCTATCAGAAAGGCATTGGTGAGCATGAGGAAGAATGGAAATTCCCACTCAGGAAGGTTGTTTGGTGATAGAAGATGGCTTATTCCATTCTTTACAAGCTTCCTTGTGTTTTTAATCCTGTTCTCTTCAGCTACTTTTGGGATATTTACATCTACTTATGGGGGAGAGCAGGTTCCATTTGACATTGTTTCGTATAAAAGGCCGGAGAACTCAAATGGGTATTTTGTAGAATCGGATTTAAAGAAATGGTTTAATAGAAGTAGGTATTCAGAATTGGAACCGCCTAGATTAGCTTATCTCATTTCAGGTACGAAGGGTGATAGTCAAAGAATGATGAGGACTTTGCAGGCTGTGTATCATCCTAGAAACCAGTATATCCTACATTTGGATCTTGAGGCACCCCCTCGAGAAAGGTTGATGTTGGGAGTGTATGTGAAGAGTGATTCGACGTTTCAAGAAGTTGGGAATGTGCGTGTAATGGCACAGTCCAACTTGGTGACTTACAAGGGGCCTACTATGATTGCTTGTACCCTTCAAGCAATTGCAATCATGTTGAGGGAGAGCTTGGAGTGGGACTGGTTTATCAATCTCAGTGCTTCAGATTATCCTCTTGTGACACAAGATGGTTAGTACATGATGTTGCATTTTTACTTGTTTCATAATTATTATTGTTGCCTTTTTCTTGTTCTGTTGTTTACCTTATTTTGTTCCATTTCCATAAGAGGATCGGTGATGTTTAAGAATTGGTAATTTACCTATTGAATTAATTTGAACTTATCTCCACATATGCAGTGAAACTGTGCTCTGGTTCTTGTATCCAGTATAGGTAAATATCAGACAAATTGTAGTAAAAGAAGTTGATTTCTTAGATCGTATATTTAAATGTGGATGGAGTGAAGATTGATGCAGTAAGTTGCCAATCCAGAACAATAATGGGTCATTCAATCTTATCCTTGCTTCAGTTCACAAATAAGTTAAATCCATTAACTTTTCCTGTGTGAACATGGTGTGTTTGGATCCAACCAGGTTTCCTTCATGCAGTTCACATATCATTTCCCAGTGCTGATGCCATGCCACTTCTTTAGTTCTAATTAAATGAGGCTTCAATTTTTTGCCTTTTGGGCTAAGCTTTGAGTTATAGTTCTCAAGTAGGTTTTGCGCATTTTGCTTCTAAAGAAAAGAATGTCTTTGTTCTAAATTGGGGAAGGCATGAAATTAGCATACTCAATCAATCACATTGTCGTGCCCTCTTTTTGCACATCAGCAGTCCTGTATGTTATAGAAGATACATTTCTGTGTTGCATTTTTGAGATGTTTTGGAGATTTCAATTATGCCGTAAATGTTCTTATGGGGTTCTATTTATATTCGAATACACAAAGAACAGAATTTTTGACACTGAGAGTTGCACATGGAGTCTAAAGCCATTAACAGCCTTTCAAGGGAATATAGCCACTGTATTGTTGTGATCTGCTGGAGGCTGGCTCGCTATGTGCAGCTGCTAAGTGCTAACCCAGTCTTTTGGGTTCAAGTAACCTCAATATCTCCGCAAAAAGGAGACTTGGTAACAGGGCTGATAAAATTTATTTCTATAGGGAGACTCTTCTTGAAAGTCGTGGACTGGATTCTGGGGTGAGTTACTGTCTCCTGGAGCTCTGCTGTATGTCATTCTGGAGTGAGCAATTCTGCTATGTGCCTATTTTAAACATTTCTCTTGCCCCCTAATAACTAGATTTATGCTTCCACATGTTTTTCTCAACTCTAGTTATTTTTTAAGGAAAAAGATCATCTCCTGTGCTCTCATATTCCATCATGCAAGGTAATTCTCTTTGAAAAAAATCTATTTTCTTACAGGGGCAATACTAGGTGTTGGATCTGCCCAAGTGGCTTCCTGCAAGGCTTAATTTGAAAACTCATAAACTGTATAAACCATAACAAGATGTCAACATTTATCTTATTAGATCAAGAACGCATTGTCTTACTCTATGGTTGTTGGTATACAATCATGTTAAATGTTTGTCTCTCAACTATTTGATTGACTTGCTATTCATCAGTTGCATTGAATGAATGAACTGAAAGAAACAGCATTCTGCCTTTAAATCTTTTCATGCTGTTCAGCAATATGAATAAGTTCTGTAAATTGACTTGCAAAATTTCTCTGGAGAATTATGAAGGGTATAGGAGGATTGAATTTTTTTTCCTGAAGTTCTGGCAATTCTGTTTCTTGTAGATATGCAGATGCTTTGCAGTTGTAAAATCTGATTGTATTTTGACTGCAGATTTGCTCCATGTGTTCACAAATTTGTCTAGAAATCTTAATTTTATTGAACACACACGGCTAACTGGATGGAAAATGTAAGTGAAAAGAACACAGAATTTTGTATTACTGCATTAGCAAATCTTCATCCGCTTCTATTTTCTGAAAAAGAGTTCACTTGGGGCATTTTTGATCTGCCACCTTGTTGCAGGAACTCCAGGGCAAAACCAATTGCTATTGATCCAGGCCTTTACTTATCAAAGAAATCCGACCTTTCTTTGACCACTCAACGGCGATCACTTCCTACTTCTTTCAAGTTGTTTACTGGTATGCATGTCTATTTAAGCTTCAAGGGTTATTTTTTGTTTTTATATATAATTATATATCAATGAGATGCTGGTTGTAACTTTGTGGGATTGCATTGCTTTTCTGATTTATGTAAGCTTGAAACCATTCATAGATGAATATGAAATTCACTGCTTATCCCATACTCTTATCACCCTCTTGCTCTGTGTATGTTCTGTGTGCGTCCAACATGTTCACCGATGTGCTTGCATACGAGGACAGGAAACATGGTTTAATGCATGGAAAACACCAATACACAGGGCATATTGGGGAATGCATATAACAACACATTACCCTGACCAAAAAGTTTGGCATAATGAGGAATGCATATAGCCATGGACATCTTACATGTGATAAGGATGAATGCTGGCATGTCATCATTATCATCTTAAATTCTTGTATGTTTTAAGAGATCTCTCATGTTGCATTATTTAGTTGCGCATTCAGTTACTGCAAGTGACGGAGAATGCAGTAGGTGAAAACAAAATATTATCTTGATCTTTTGCCTGAAAAGTGTCTTTAGGATCTCTCCTCTCAAGTTGGCTATCCTGGATAAATATAGTAAGGGTCTTCTTTCTGTATTTTGTTTTCTACCCTCCCTTTTTTGCATCTTTTTTCTTCAAATTTGATTGTTTTAGCTCATCCAGTTATGATCCCGCTGAAGTGACATCTTGTGAGTGAGAATTTAGAAAGTCACCTGTCATTAGTATTTGCTTGAAGTGGCTACTCTTAAGAATTGAAGCTGCACAAGCATTTGAGTTTTGTTACAGAGAAGCAACTCCTTCTGAACCTCATGGAGCCAGTGATAGTCTCTAGTATAAGACTCGACCAGAATCCTGGCATGACAGAGAACAATGAGGCTGAACGCCTTCTGGTCATTTGATTCTCTTAACTCTGCATCTAGATAATTTCCTGCAATAGTTAAACTCATGGCCTCTGGAAAATTGATTAGTTTCTATACAGAGATCTCGTCCTGTATTTCTTTTGTTTTAATATGATAAAGAAAGAGAGAAGAGAACGTGAATTTATCTTGCTTCTGTTATTCAGGTTCAGCATGGATAATGCTAACTCGATCATTTCTTGAGTACTGTATAATGGGATGGGAGAACCTTCCACGAACTATCCTGATGTACTATACAAATTTCGTCTCCTCTCCTGAAGGATATTTCCACACTGTTATTTGCAACACTGAAGAATTCCAAGACACAGCCATAGGCCATGATCTCCACTACATAGCCTGGGACAACCCTCCTAGGCAGCACCCCATCTCTTTGACAATGAAACACTTCGATAAAATGGTTAAAAGTAATGCCCCATTTGCCAGGAAATTTGCAAGGGATGATCCCGTTTTGGACAAGATTGATAAAGAGATTCTAAACCGCACAAGCAGGTTTGCTCCTGGAGCATGGTGCATTGGCAGCTCAGGCAATGGATCTGATCCATGCTCCATGCGTGGTAATTATTCCCTATTTCGACCAGGTCCTGGTGCTGAAAGGTTGCAAGAACTGCTTCAGTCATTGCTATCCGAAGATTTTCGAAAAAAACAGTGTTCATGATGAAATGAAATTTTTACATGACTTTGAATTGTACATTGGTATATTCATAGATCATACAGCTTGCGTACACAACAAAACTGTTTTTTAAGATGAAATTGTAACAGTTCCGTTGTATTTTGTTAGTGTCTTGTGATAAAAAGAATATATCTATATCTATATCTATATCTATATATATATATATATATATATATATTATCGCACTATTCAATAGATTACTACCAAACTTCCTCATCAGGTTCCAATTTATCACATTGAGTATATTAAATATGTAATCGTCTAATGGTTATAATCAAATCTTAATAGAGAATCATGCAAGCATATACTCGTATAATCGAGTTTCCTACTGGTTTATTGCCTGCTTACAAGCACTGGTAAAATGTTTTAATGTTGCCTAGGCCACAAGTATTGTCCACATCTTATATTACTAGTCATAGTATATATAGCAAGTTAATTTGGTGATCCATTAATTTGATACCTGATGTAAATGAAGTTTTATGTGAAATTAAATGGGAATTGATATGGTTAAATTCAATCAATCTGGTCAAATTTGTTCGATCTAGAGGTTAATTTGTTACCTAGTTAAAATCTTTGATTTCTTCTTTTTTTTTTTTTTTTAAATTTCTAAAACTGAACTGTTTCATTTTTTTTAAAATCTTGAAACAGCACCATTTTTAATTTATCTAACCTGTGACCGACTCTTAGGTTATGCCATGAACAAATCATGCTTTGTAACTACGGAAACGACTAGGTAAATTATGTGGAAGAGCGGATGTACTCCATCAGTCTAGCAAAGCAATGCTCGAAGCAAACTTCAAGAGGATAAAATCTTGCAATCAAAAGGAATGGATCCTGGCAGCTGATGAAAGCAACTTGTGTAGCTTGGAGAGCTTGGAGCTTCGTTATTTGGACAAATTAAGAAGAATCTGTCGGGTAATTGCACCACCTAGTGCTCTTGCTAGCCTCGAGGATTTGCAGGTCAATGACTGCAACAGTCTGAAGGGTCTATTTCCATTAGAATTGATGTAGAACCGCAGAAACCTTGAAGAGAGTGATGTTGAATGATGCCCGAAAATTCAGAAACTGGCAACTGGTGAAGAAAACAGTAGTTTATTTACACGTCCAAGTTTACAGAAACTGGGAATGAAGTCCTTGCCAAGAATTAATCCCTGCACGCTATTTAAGTTGTTGATTGCCCACTCCCAGAATCACTACCATCTGCTCTCAAGCAAATCAAAAGATGCAAAAAATGGTGGAATTCACTGACGTGGAACAAACTCTAGCACTCTTCTCAGTCCATTCTTCTTAGAGGATGCAACAAGAAGATAAGAATCAGGAATAGACAACGAGTAGGAGCTGGAAGTTGAGGGAAGAAACGAATGGCAAGTGATTGAAGAAGAAGGCAACTGTATAACTTCTATTTCTCATCCAGTTTCGCTTACTAGAGAAACTTGTTTTAGATTGCCGTTGTGTTCAGCTATATACGTTACGTGCATTGTAAGAGCCTAGGTCACTTGATATATGCTGCTGCTGCTATTGACCGTAAGGTGGTTTTTGTGTTGAATTTTCCTGCTTGATTTTGCTTTTACGCTAGGCAATGTCTTGACAGCTTTAGCATCATTTGAGAGTTTAAAACGTTTCAGTTATTGTTATTAGGTTATGTTCTTTGAGAATCTGACCATTAGATCAATCGAAACTCGACAATCAATAGATACAACTAAATGTCCGAACAAGTGTTTGATCAGTCTCTCCTAGAAGAGATTAAATTCATGTATTTCTCAACAATCATTTCTGGTGGAAAATCTGTGAAGTAGCCCTTCTCTACTTCCAATCCTTCTTGGGCTGCCAGCATCTCAACCTCTGCCTGGACCCTGTCAGCTCCAACCTGATTGGGCTCTAAGAGGATACAAGCGATCTCAAATGAATCATCACCGTGAACGAGCGCCAATGCTTGCACGGTAGGAAGCCCGCCATCACGAGCCCTCACCATCCGTGCAATCTGTCGAGCAGTAGAAACATCGGTGCACACTACTGGAATGTTGTATAATGCGACCCATGGTCGAGCCCCAATCATCACTATTCCTCTTGTTCGCGACACATGGTTCGGACCTTCATCAGGGGCTCCAGGGAGAATCTCAGGTATGGTCCACCCAGCCCATTGGTTGCCCATGAAATTAGGCGTATAGTACCCCAGCTCGCGCCTGATGGTGTCAGGAGCCCTGCCTGTTGGATGTGCTGCAGCATAAAGAAATACTGGCACTGCAATGCATCGAGGAAAATAAGAAAGGAGATATATAATTCAAGTGCTACAAAATCCTGTTTGACATGATATATTGAAACCTATATCATGTAATTTCATTATAATGCTAAGAAATCTCAAGTCATTGATAAATCCCATTCCATGCAAAGTGGTCACTAAGATGCTACATAAAAGTTCTGGACCAACCTTGAAATCTGCTGCCAATATCTGCTGCCACTGTCTTGGCCAGCCAAGCTGCTTCATCCAGCGAGGCCCGAGCCAAAGGGTGGAAAACAATGTCATCTACAACACCAAGCCGAGGGTGTGCACCGGAGTGCAACTCAAGGTTAATGGCTCCATAAGCAGCCTCAACCATGGTTAGCACAGTTTGGTGCAATGGACTATAAATGGGACTCCCAGTGCTATCAACAACAACATATGATACAATAGTGAACCTGATCCTATTATAAACTCGGTCCTCAAATTTGTTTACAATAACACTTTCTGGGTCGAGCCTAGCAGCTTGTTCAATTAAGTCCAGAACTGCGCGGTTACGTGCCTCAGAGATGTAGAGCATGCAACATACCAGCATGGATTCATTTGCAGTTCTTTTGTTCTATGCATCAAAGAAGAATAAGAGCTACTTAGATATCTAATGACACTGGAAAAAATGACTGAGATTAGTTACAGAGGTGGTAAGAGCAGTATAAAAAGTGTTCGCATGGGGTCAGAAGCCAGAGATTGTTGAATGTTAAGAATGCAAATATGTGTGATTTGGTGGTAATATTCATTTTCTTTCTTTCTTTGAGATAAGACAAAATTTTGATGAACATTCTTCAAGATGTGAGGAGTCTGTTTCTTTTTGTGTTTTTGAAAAAAAAAAAATTTATTTCCAAATTAATTTATTTTTAGTATTTTTAGATTATTTTAATATATAAATGTTAAAAATAAATATATTATTTTAATATATTTTTAAATAAAAAAATTTAAAAATAACCACTACCATACTCTAAATATATTTAAATTTATCTCAGTTTTAAAATAGGTTGATTAGCTTTAAAATAAAGGTTTAAATAGGGACGGAGCTGGCAATATTTGATAGGAAAGGCCAAAAATAATATAACACATAATTAAAAAGTTTATTTATTTAAAATAAAAATTATTATACTATTTCATATTTAAATACTAAATAATAAAAAAACATTAAAATATTTTTCAGAGACCCGGGCCTTACTTGCGCCCCCCCTCCCCCACCCTAGTTCTGCCCCTGGATTTAGGTATGAGTGGACATCGACAGCCATAATTGGAGCTGAGCTAGGATAATTTTCTAGAGATGCCAAAACCAGAATAATTTTCTAGGAAGAGCCAAAACTTAATTATTATTTTTTATTTCTTCTGGGACTATACATATAAAATATATTTACAACCTTAGATTTTTTTTTTTATTTTGTTTTTCAGGATTCGAGCCCAGTTGCCCTCCCTCTCCACCCTGTTTATAGAAGTCGTAACTAGCTGAGGTAAAGATTATTTTGGTACCCAACCAGTTAATTAGATACTAATCTTGTCCTCCCACTTGATCATAATAATTCAAAATTTATAATCAAAATGGTCATTTTGAAGACCAGTGACCATTCAATCCAGTTGTGTTAGGTAGGAGAAGGGGTACGGTCATATTCTTTTTGTGTTTTTTATTTCCAAAATATAAAAAATTATTTTAAAATTATTTCGGGAATATTTTTTCTCATGTCCCCTTCTTTGCTTTTATTGTTTTTGTCTTTTTTTATTCCAAGAAAATAACTAAACTATTTTGCTGTCCCAAGGTACAAGAACTGAAATATTTCTGTTTATTGTATGCTTTGTGTAGCTTTCAACTAATTAAAAGGAAGGTAAAATACATTATCTTTCAGGGTTTTTCAAGGGTTTTACTCTGTTACATGTGCAATTGGTTTAGCTTCAAATACTTCTGAATAGTTCTATTAAGAAGAAAATACTTACATCCATGGTAATTAAACATGCATAAGAAGTAGAATACCAAATATAATAATTCAAAAAGACTAAAATCTAAAAGAATACCTAAAGATAGCAAGTAAATGGCATTTAGGGAGGCAAGAATAATAAAGGAGATTAATGGAAAGAAACTACTCCAATTGCAGATTCTTCATGGAATGATTTGGAGAACTTTCTTCATTATTTTTAGCACAATAATATTTGTTGTAATTTTTTTAATTGTGAAAATTTTCTAGGTTTTGAAGAGTTTGAGAAGAGTTAAAATATAATTTACTAAAATAAAAATAATTTTTAATATTATTGTTGAATTGAGTTGAGATTTTAATAAAAAACTTTACAGGCCATGTTTACTCTTTAAATTTCTCAATAGCTTATGCCTACATGAGAAATTTATCCATAATATGAAAAAACTCAAATGGGATGATTTGGATTGTTTTAATCCACACGTAGAAGTAAATTTGTATGAAATACGAATCTTTTTAAGTGAAAAAAAAACTTCTGAGCTAATTGTCTAATTCATAAATGGGTTTGATAGAAATTAACAAAAAGATCAAAATGACTAATCTTGCAGTACATGTAAGAACATATATAAACATGAACTGGAAAAGAAAGATAACAACGCAACTCGAGCTCAAAAACTAGAGCAGAAGAAAAGGTAGCTCGAAAGAGAGAAAGTAGAGAAACAAAATTCTATAGAAGTTACCTCGCAACTTGAGTCAAAATCCATTTCTTGCTGCTTTGCCTTTGCTTCAGTCTTCAAGGGAAGTACTGCTGGTGAGAGTATAAGTCATTTGTGTGTGTGTGTTGTGTATATATAAGCCATGAAAGTAATGCTAACAATTAAGCTTGCGTGACTCAGCATTACACAAATTCAT